CACAGACACGCACAGTGTGCCCTGACGTGAGCGTTAACAGGAAACAGTTTTCAGGTAACCAATCAGAGCGCGTTACCTCGACTGAGCGTCTCCACCTGTTGGCGGCTTTCTTCCAGACCTTTCTCCTTCTCATCCAAGACTCGCTGCAGCTCTGACACACAAACAACATCATCAGCCAATCAGCTGAGAGCAGCAGCCAGCTAACCGTCCCCTTCGGCTCATCTGATTGGTTACTTACCTCCCACCTCCATCTCCCGCTGCCTCCTCCTCTCCTCGCTGTCCTGAAATGCTGCTTGTAGGGCGTCGCCTTCTGAATCGAGCTCCGCCCTCAGGCTCTCCAGCTGGTGGGAGAATTCTGCTCTCTGATTGGCCAGCTCCTCTCTGAGCTCAGCGCACCTGTTCTCACTGCAGGAGGAGAAGAAGAGTTTCAACCTCTGTTTATGGATCGATAAAACCTGATTGGTGGCAATATCGATCACCTGAGCGTAAGCTCCGCCTCCAGCCGCCGCTTGTCTGTCTGCAGCTCTTCGATCTGTTGGGATTTCTGAGCCGAGCGCTGGAGCGCCGCCTCGCTCTCCTTCTTCAGCTCCTCCATGGCGGCGTGGAAAACGCTGCTGCTCTGCCCCTCCTCCTCCTGAACACATCAGCCAGTGAGTCATCATGAACACGATCCAGGATCAACCAACCAGCTTTCACAAAAAAAGAGAACCTTCACTTCCTGTCGAAGGCGCTCCAGTTCCTGTGTCAGACTGCTGATGGAGTTGTTCTTCTCCTCTGACTGGTGCTCCAGGTCGTGGAGGCGGGTCTTTGTGGCTTTGAACTGCTCTGATAGGCTGTCCGATCTGTCAGTCTGCTGTTTGAGCTGCACCTGCAGGCTGGTCACCTGGAGGGATGCAAAGACCGTCAGCAGAAGAAGAAGCAGCAGAAAAAGAAGGAGGAGGAAAAGGAGAAGAAGAAGAAGACCTCCGTCTGCAGCTGGAAGATCCCGTTCACCAGAGCTTTGTTCTCCTTCTGCAGTCTGGACGCCTCCCTCTGCTCCGCCTCCAGAGACACCAACACAGTGTCACAGTTTGGACACCCGTCCAGGTCTACAGCAGGACAGAAAGGGGAGGAGTCAGGAGAGGCGACAAAGTGAGATAAGTTCAGTGTTTCTCTGTGATGAACAAAAGTACATGGACGTGTGTGCTGCATATGCTGATGTTCCCGTCTACATACTTTTGAGCACCAGCAGCTGCTCCTCCAGCAGCACCTGCTCCTTTTTCAGCCCCTCCACCTCCGCCACCCGGCTCCTCAGCTCCTCCTCCAGCCTCGCCTTCTCTTGCTGCAGCTCCTCCTCCCTCCCTCTGTGCTCCACGATGGCCTCGTTCTTTCTGTCATTTTCCTCCTGCAGCCTCCAGATCTCCTCCTCCAGGACCACTGAGGAGGAACATGATGATAGGAGCATGAAGGTTCAGCACAAGCTCTCCATGTTCCCCTCCTCCTCTCCCCTCACCTCTCCTGTTTGCTCCTCGCTGCTTCTCATCCTCCACAGAGTCAGGCTGATGTTTCCTGCTCCCCTCCTCCTCCTGTCCTCTCCTCGTGCAGCCGCAGGTCTGCTGAAGCTCCAGCAGCTGCGACCGTATTGACTCCACCAGCTGCTTCTGCACGAAAGAACACCGCGTTAGGCCTCAGTGGGAATCCAACCTGGAAACCATGAACAGAGCCCACTCACGTCTCGGGTGGCGTCCTCCACGGCATCGTCCATGGCTGCCCGGAGCCTGGAAAGAGCGCCGTCCTTCTGCCGACACAACTCCATCAGTTTCGACACCTCCTGCTGCTGCTGCTCCAGACGCTGGAGGAGAACACGAGGAGAAGAGTTAGTGGAGCAGAGCCGAGTGAGAGCAGGAGCCAGGACACCACAGGAGGAGGACGCTCGGGGTACCTTCTCGGCTTCTTGCAGTTGGTCACGTGACTGCTGGCTATCCAGTCGCAGCACCTCCAGCTCTGCAGGGACAAGTCAGAGTGACCTCAGCGAGAAGTGTGCACGTGTGCGTGCACGTTACAGTCAAAGGGCCGCGACCCCTCGGCGACTCTTCAGACACTTAGACAAGTGTCTTTAACAAACAGCGAGGGCTGTTTTACACTGCACGGCGAACACGCTACAATAACCACATGACCGCCTATGAGCACGCGCTGTGGCGACAGTGGGACGGAACAAAGACGGGCTGAGAGCTAGAGACTAAGAACAACTAATGATTAAAGATGGAGGCCTGACGGCTCCACCCAACTTTAATCATTAAGTACTAATTTCACCTGCTCGCGTCCTCTTTAAACCCCGCCCCCTGTTCTGTGCTGTGTGTGTGGTACCTGTGGTGTGTGTGTGCTCGGTCAGACAGCGGTGGACACTCTGAGCGTCCTCTCTGATCTTCTCCAGGTCTTGACTCATGGAGCTGATGATTCCCTCCAGCAGCACCACCTGCTCCTCCTAACAGTCGATCACGATCAATACTGAGTAATAGATCCTGCCTGTGTGTGTGTG